TAAGGGGAACGGGAAAACTTTGAGGCAACCCCACATTTGAGGAAAAACTCAGATTTTGAGAAAGTCTCCTCAAAAATTCAAAACCGCTGTATGTAGGCAACCGACATTGCACCCCCCCCCCCCCCCTCTGTCAACCGGACCTTTGATCCGCGCCTGTAACCAGTTGAGCCCTTGGTTCGAGTGTGCCGCCGAGCAGTGAGTGAAAATTCAATAAATGGTTCTTTCTTTCTGTTCCAGGATTTTCGGCCCCATTTGCATATCAACCAAACGAAAAAGGTGAGTCAGAAGAGAGAGTTCCACATTAAAACGTTTAGAAAAAATTTAGTCCTAGGAGAGGGTAGGCGGACACCGGACCCGGTTTTTAGAGGTACTGGGGCTGGGCCCCGCGGCGCCAGCCAGCAACCATAGCGCACTCCAAGCGGGACCACAGGCGCGGCGCACGGCCGCCTCGAAACGGCGTGTTATCGCCCGAGAAATTCTTTCCGGACAGGTGATGCCCTGGTTTAGCGGAAGGGGTAGAAAGGGTTGGGGGGGGCACGCAGGGTGCTACCCGTCACACATTTCTTGTTGCACACAGTACACTCGAAAGGCTTCTCCCCAGTGTGGGTTCGGAGATGAACAAGCAGGGTGTCACCCGTCACACATTTCTTGTTGCACACAGTACACTGGTGGTGGTGGTGGTAACGCTGTGGCGGGGGCACACGCGCGTTAGATAAAACGGCGTGAGGTACGATGACATCCAGGCTGCTGTGTGGTGATGCAGGGTCAAGGCGACTGATATGAAGCACAGTAGTGGGTTTGGCAAAATATAAGACCCTCTCCCCCTCTAGGTCGCAGTCGACGCAAAGGCAGTGTGGGTAACATTATGGCAACGCAGCCCTCAGCTGCGGCATGTACTCCAGCGCGGGGCCGGCCGGCCCGGGCCGCCCCTCACACATGACTGGAAATTTTAATGACGCAAGTTTGGCTGCCCCGCCGAGCCCCGCCCGCCCCCGCGCCCATAGAACATCTTGCTGCGGCGGCCGGATGAGTCCCGCTCCCCCCTTCAACACGTTATCCTCTTGGACCCCAGCCACTGTAAAAACTATCGTCGTAAATTCACATTCTTTGTAAACTCGAATGAAAATCTACGTTGTAAATTTAAGAGAGCACACCTCTTACTCGCCACTGGATTTTAAGTCGATGCGTACTGCATGTATTTTTTAGCCCGCTCTTTTGCTTAAAAGCTATAAAAGCGGGCTTATGCCATCGCCTCTGTGTTCGTCTGTCTGTCTGTCTGTTTCCCAAGAACGACGTGAGCTAGAGGTTTGAAATTTTCAGGGTATTATTGTTGTCACTTCTGGTCAACGAAACGGTTGGTGCAAATCCTGGCAATCAACCCTGAGTGGGTCTGAGGGGGTAACAAAGAAATTGGGGTTGGTCCAAGAAGTGGAAAAAAAATATTTTATTTTATGGTGTCCGAAGAGGTAACTCGTGAGAGTAGAGCCCTCCACGCGAAAATTTCGTCCGTTTGGCTCTATCTCTCACCGTTTACGCGCTAGAGGGAGTTTTACCCACGAAAGTGGCTTAAAAATAAATATATTAATTTTAGAAAACATTTGATGGTCTCCTAAGGGGTAACTTGTGAAAGTAGAGCCTCTTGGGCTAAAGTTTTGTCCTGTTTACTTACAAAAGGGAGTTTTTTTTACCAAACTGGCCAAAACTTGTTCGAAGATGTTCAGCGTATGAAAAGAATACTTCGTTTGTTGGGTTTTACTTACGAAGTAGACAGAAAAGGTACCTGGCAAAAAGATGGTCCAAAGCGAGCCGTCACTCCAACGGGCCGAAGGCCCGTTTTCGGAAAGATGTATTACACCATAAAAATGCAGAAGGGACGGGCCGAAGGCCCGTCCCAAACGCCGCCGGCAGGCCAAGCTGGGCCCGCTCCCTGCCGAACCGAGTTGCCGGTGGAGCGAAGCGGAGCTGGCAACTTGGTTTGGCGGAAGAGCGGGCCCAGCTTGTTACGATTTACGATTTACCAATTGAAATTTTACAACTTGCGTCGCGGAAAATTTTCCTGTAAACCTTTCAGCTATTTATCACAGTGGCAGCGGCAGCAGAACCACAACATCTAAATAAGACTGATAGACTGGCAGGCACGCCCTATCACAGGTCAATGGTATTTCAAGTTCACCCTTCATATTATCAAGCCTATAGTTCACGGTTAGAAGAATGTGTGTGCTGCCATAGCAAGCTAGTTGCAATATTGTATCTGACTCAGTTACGGACACAAGACCAGTGCTTGGTTGAATAATTGTGCTTGACATTTGGAGTGTAAATAACATGTAGAGAATTCAGTATGCACACTTCTCTTAAGTGCACTTACATTTATACATAGATCAAATTAAGATAATTGACACAAAAAAATAGAAATAGGCGAAAACTAAAAAATAATAATAAATAAACGCAAACCAAACGTCTTCTAAGCAGCTTATAAGATGTGTACGCATATTTCGACAATGCAAAAAATGTCATTGTGGCACGTTCAATACATTGAAAAGGCTAGTCTTCTACTTCTTCATGGCTTCGGGGATGAACAAGAAGTTCAGCACTTCTTGCAAATTTCTTGTTGCACACAGTTCACTCCTGTGTGAGTTCGGAGATGGACACGGACGTACCTACTATGCGAAAACTTCTTGTTGCAAATGGTACACTCGAAAGACATTCCTCTACGTATGTGTTCGAAGATGAGTACGCAGATTACCAGCCTGCGAAAACTTTTTGTTGCAAATGGAACACTCATAGGGCTTCTCTCCTGTGTGGGTTCGGAGATGGACACGCAGGGTGCCACCCGTCACACATTTCTTGTTGCACACAGTACACTCGAAAGGCTTCTCCCCAGTGTGGGTTCGGAGGTGAACATGCAGTTCATCACTTCTCGCAAACTTCTTATTGCACGTAGTACACTCGAAAGGCTTCTCTCCAGTGTGGGTTCGGAGATGGACACGCAGGGTGCTACCCGTCACACATTTCTTGTTGCACACAGTACACTCGAAAGGCTTCTCTCCTGTGTGGGTTCTGAGATGGACACGCAGGGTGCTACCCGTCACACATTTCTTGTTGCACACAGTACACTCGTAGGGCTTCTCTCCTGTGTGGGTTCGGAGATGGACACGGACGTACCTACTATGCGAAAACTTCTTGTTGCAAATGGTACACTCGAATGGCGTTTCCCCTGCATGTGTTCGTAGATGAGTACGCAGATTACAAGCCTGCGAAAACTTTTTGTTGCACACAGTACACTCAAAAGGCTTCTCGCCAGTGTGGGTTCGGAGGTGAACATGCAGGTCCTCATTTCTCGCAAACTTCTTGTTGCACGTAGTACACTCGAAAGGCTTCTCTCCTGTGTGGGTTCGGAGATGGACACGCAGATTTCTACCACACGAAAACTTCTTGTTGCACACGGTACATTCAAAGGGCTTATTTCCTGAGTGGGTTTGGAGGTGCTCATCTCGATGACCAATCGTCACAAATGTCTTGTTGCACTCGGTACACTTAAAAGGCTTCTCCCCTGTGTGAGTTAGGAGATGAGCGGTCAGGTTACCTTTAGTAAAGAACTTTTTGTTGCACAGAGTACACTCAAAAGGCCTTTTTCCTCTGTGGGAGAGTTGATGAATATGTAAAGTTCGACTGCTGGACATGATGTTTCTGAAAAGTAAAAAAAAAAAAGAGGATCGTTTTTATTACATTAACAAGGTAAATGTACGCCAGACCACGTCTCGCGTAACAGGATTCGCGATATCTCACGAAACACTGTTACGCTGCGACACTGTCAACAGCCTCGCAATAGCAGCCCAATCACCTTAACAGTCGGCTAAATTGTGAAATCGTAAACACAGAACGCCCTCATTTGATTGCAAGATGGGGATAGCGAAATTTTCAGTGGTATGGCGGCAGCAGCCATCTTAAGATTTTTTGACAGTACATGCCCCCACATTGGGACAGGTAAAGTCACTCATATTATGATCTTTTGTAGTAATGATGGCTTGAGTGTAATTTGGATTTTTAGGGGCGGTATGGACCATTCTTTCCGAGATGCCATTCTGAATATTCCGAAAATCCAAGTATCCTATGAGTTATATACCGACATAGACATGGTGACAGTAAGTGCCCCAAGCCCGGGGCACATACTGTCAATTACCGCGGTCCCCTCTCGCGCGATGATTTGGGAGAAGAAACGAATATTTTTGCGGAGGTCACAGTGGTTTCTTGTGACTAAAGGTCGAATAAAGGCACACCAACCCAGAAATCTGAAATCCTGCCTGAATAATGACTGCTAGAAAAGATTTTCCAAAAAGTGACACTATGTGCCCCACCTACCCTTACTATGATGGGTTACCCCTCAGGAAACCATAAACCATTATTCTCAAAAAACGTCATTTTTGGGGGCCCCGTTGTTTTTTATTTTTTTAAATCCAATTTGAGCTAGAATGCTCATCTTCTCATCTGTCTTTTTATAACACGAAACGACCATGAAAATCCCAGGTCGCTCGCTTCGTTCTCGAGTTATCGTGCGGTCAGACACACACAGACATACAGAAAAAGTTTCTTCCGACCAGACAGAGTAATAGGCTTCGGTAATCGCTCAGCCAATTATTGTTATTATGATTTCTGATTTGTTTCTTAATTATTAGTTTCACTTTTAAATGTTTTCTAGGATCCTTGGTGAAACAACGTTACCCGGTTACATTACAAGGTTACGAATCGCTTTCCCTTTCTGCTATATTCATGGCTTGCTAGCTCAACTGTAAAAACAGAATCTGATTTAAGGGGAACGGGAAAACTTTGAGGCAACCCCACATTTGAGGAAAAACTCAGATTTTGAGAAAGTCTCCTCAAAAATTCAAAACCGCTGTATGTA